AGGGGGAGGAAAAAAGCAGGCATGGGGCTGAACTTGACGGATTCCTGCCCCCTCCCCATTTCCCACCCTCATACAACGCAGGACCTTATCTTTACTGAGGGCTTTAACAATGACATAGCTCTTGGTGGATGTGCCAGTGACTCTGAACCTGGGTGAGGGTAGTGTTTTTCTATTTTGTTGTTTTTGCCATGATGGGGCTCGAACCCAGAGTCCCATGTGTCCTAGGTGTGAGCTAGGTCTCAACATGATCATTATTTTCTTAATAAATATTTGTATATTGTTCAAGAAAACCAGATCAAGCAAAGTGCATGAACCAAACAAGGGCAAGGCGAGCTGGGCTAGAAAAATAAAAAAGAAAGCAAAGCCAGATTCTGTCATTGACGAGATGCATGCGCCTTCTCGTCCCTTGAAGGGTTACAATAAGTTCTCACACAGATGTATTACGTGGCCTGACACTGGAATTGATATATCATTTTTAACCACACAAAAGAACCCTTTAAGAGTCACTGAATGCTTCCACTTCTTACTGGAAGTCAAGTTTGGCAGAGTTGAATATTCAAGAAAAATCAACTTCGGAGTTAACACCCTAGGACCAAGGCCGCAGTGGCTGCACATGCACCCCAGCGAGCTCATGGAGCACCCAGGCCTCGGCTTTTCTGCTCCTCCACCCCGCCCCACTCCCCGCTGGAAAAGACTCAAAAGCAATCGGCAAAAGAGGTACCACCTTCCGTGCCCTGGCCCAGAAAACAAGCCCTAAGATTTAACCCTGACTCACCCTCGGATGTGACCTCAGGCACGTCACCCTTCTGTGTCCCAGTTGCCTCACAAAAGTGGAGACTCCCTGGAGGCTCTGGGCAGATTGCAGTGAGCAAAATACTCTTTGAAACTGCGAAGCCTTATACACATGCTAAATATTATGATTGTTACCACCTGAGTCATGAAGATTTCCTGCAACGCCCAGATCTTCCCTCGGAGAACTTCTTTACCGAAGAGTGATATTGTCTATTCCTTCTCCATGCCAAGAAAGGGACTGAATTGGAACTTACGATCAAAGCCCTCCTGGAGTTTACCTGAACTTTTCAAGGGAAAAGGCTGAGCTGTTTGGGGCCTGAGAGAAGAAAGATCTGAGTATTATGGTATCTAATGAGGCCTTTCAGGCCTTTGAAAAGTTCAGAACGAAATCTAGAAGAAAGATCTGAGTATTATGGTATCTTTTATTTTTATTTTTATTTTATTTTATTTTTTTGTGGAACCGGGGATTGAATTCAGGTCCTTGAGCTTGCCAGAGAAGCGCCTATTCCCCTGAGCCATCTCCCCGGCAGTATTATGGTATCTAATAAGGCCTTTCAGGCCTTTGAAAAGTTCAGAACGAAATCTAGAAGAAAGATCTGAGTATTATGGTATCTAATGAGGCCTTTCAGGCCTTTGAAAAGTTCAGAACGAAATCTAGAAGAAGGCAGACCTTGCATTGTTCTCCCTTGCATTGTCCTCCCTTGATAGATTGTGGTCCTTGATTAAGACCACAAACTCCTATGAGTCCTAAACATATAGATCTCTGCATTCTTGGGTGGGGGCCTTATGCAGTAATGAGATCTGTCAGGAGAGTCCCTCTATTCTCTTCCCGTAAGAGAATGCCCTATGTCTCCCTTTCCCCATGTAGCATCTTTTCTACTTCTGGATCCCAGGACTCGAAGGGGATTAGAGTAAATCTCATCAGAGAAAGATCACCATGGCCCCAAGGAGTGTGGGATGGGTGAGGCTGACCAAATGACTCTGTGGTTCTATACATTTTAGAAACTTCCTGATGCCTGTTGGAACAACTCCACCCAGCCTTTTGAGAAGACCTGTCAGCTCTCTTAAGTTCAAATGATATAAAGCGCTTCATTAATATACTCCAAATCTTTGCGCTGTAATTGTACACAGTACTGACTAAGACGTTAAGTGAGGCAGGTGGGTGGGGACTTTGGTAGCTTTTCTCTATGTACATGGTGACAGGAGTGGTGTGGCTAAGTTAGTCTGTGCTGGAGAGAGGTTCATAAACACCAGCATAGGGCCAGATTGGAGACCACAGCCTAGGCAGGCAAATCAGGGGTGCAGAGTACTGGTGAGTAAGCATTCATTTAGCTACACACTGAAATGAATCTTTTATGATACCTTATGAAACTTGTCCCTGTTGGGAATTTTTTTTTTAACCCTAAAATATAAAATGAGTAGATCTTTGAAACTGAAAAAAGATTCCATGACCAGCGAAGTTTGTCATATGCCCAAGGCTGTTTTCCCAGCCAATTCCTTTTGGGAATGCAGTTTCTGACCATGCTACAGGGAAATAGACCACCTGGTGAGAATGTTGGTTTTCCCATAAAGTAATAGGTTTCCTCGTCTGCAAAGCGGGAATAATCCCAATCTAGCACCCACCCCTCAGAGTTGTCATGGAAATTAAAGGAAACAAGAAGTACAGGGTGAACAATTGGCCGAAATACAAAGGTAAATGCAAGCGGCCTTCCTTCAGAAAGCATCCACAGACCTCTCCAGGTAGAAGGAGGAGCAGCCAGGGCTCAGACCCTCGTTAGGATCTGAGTGAGAGGACTCCTATGTCTGGTAGTTCCCCCAGCCACAGACCACTGTGGTCCACGGATCAGACCCAAGTGCAGGGCAAAGTGGAGCCCAGAGTTCCTACACCCCTCAGCTTCTCCTACATTCCGCACTTGTGTAATCATCGGCTCCTATCAAGCCCAGAAAACCCAGGGCAATGTTCTCAAGCTCTTACCCATAAAATTATGGGAAGTGTTTTGTTTTATCAGACTCCAATACTTGCCATGCTGTCTGAGGGTAAGGCGATGTTATCACTGAGTTTCTATGGTTTTTGTCCCCGTTCATTTGGCAAACACTGATTCTATTTGTTTGTTAACTGAAACTATTTTTTGTCATGGCTTCCAGAAAGGAATGGCATTCGTTCTGTGGAAACAGTAGAAAGATTGTGGGGTTTTATGAAAACAGCAATTTGCTGGGAGGGGCGAGGAGGCCTGATTGGACAGCACTGATTCTAGGATATTGGAGCATCTATTTAGGCTTTCAGACCACTTAACTTTAGGAACAAGATGTGGAGTTTCATACAGAGGGAAAGCCTCAGCCAGGAGAAGAGAATCTAGAGCTCTCCACTGCATGAATTACCCAAGAGCTGACGAATCAGGTGTAGGTGGCCTGGAACAGGATTGGGTGGGAATGCGTTTATGGCAAAATTATTTTTGCCAAGTTCCGAACAGAAGATGAATAGTTCAAGTTGGTTTATAGCAGGCAAACAGGCCTGAACTTGCATTTTCCAGGAGCAAAGTCTCCAAGCCGGAGGTGAGTTTATCATTGTCACTGGCCACAATGTCACCTTTTAGCAAATGCTTTTAGACACAGTGTTAGGCACCATCTTTGTGACACCTGTCCTTGGGAGCTGCCGGATTCCATGACGATGCTGAGTCCTGGGGTGGTGTTTTCTCCCCACAGAAGGCCCGGCTGGCCACCATTGTTTCTAAATATCCCGCAGCAAATGCGTACACTCTCCCATCCAATTTTGCTTCGAAGAAGGACTTCAGCAATTCCTGTTCCAGCATGTTCCAGGTGCCAGTCTTCATGAAAGCGCACAGATCTGAAACCCCTGCCCCAAACCATTATCACGTAAGAGCACTGCATTTACCCGCTATACGCACATTGAGTGACTAGCTTGCTGAAATGGAAGGGAAAGGAAGCTTGGGAGAATAGTCTTTTATTTATTTATTTTGGCACAGGGTCTCACTACGCAGCTCAGACTCGCAGCAATCCTCCTGTCTGAGCCTCCCCAGCACTGGGATTACATGCATGCACCACCATGCCTGATTTAGGTGACTGGCACAGTGCTCCTGGGATTCTGGGCCCTTCACAGTATGTCATACCAGGGATCGAACCTGGGTCCTTGAGCTTGCCAGGCAGGCACTTAGACTGCTGCGCTATCTCCCCAGCCAGCTTGGGAAAATAGCATCTGGATTCTTTATTGTTGTCTACCCAGTTCTACACCAGAATCTGAAAGGGACTTTGCAGGACCCAGAGAGAAGTACAGGTGACAAGGAAGTCAGTGGGCAACAGTAGGTAAACCCCTGCCCTGAAAAATACTTTTAATTTAATAATTCCAGGCACATAACCTTTCAGGGATATAGTTTTCTCATTCGTAACAGTGGCATATTGCTTTGCATTTTATCTGCTTATTTACCATTTGTTTAATTTTTAGATTCTCTTTGGGAAAATCTACTTCTACCTTTCTGTGTCCAAAGATTTTTTTTTTTTTTTAATTTTACTACAGCGCTCTGCCAGTTGTGATGGCCGTGTGATCGCTGGGCAGACTGGCATGGATGGGAAGCTTTGGGTCCAATCCCAACCTGCAGTCTAACTGTATGGCCGTGGGCAAGTCCCTTAGCCTTTTCAGGACTTAGTTTATTGGGCTGTAAAACAGGGATATCTGTTAACGTCATAGTGTTCAGGCAAATATGAAATGACATAACCTAGGCTGGGAGCTAGTGCCCAAGGACTTACACAGCATGTGGAAGAGAAGGCTGGGGCAGTCTCCGGGCAGGTCCTACCAGCCCAGAGCCACGTGGTGAGATGGGATTAATCATGCCTGCCCTGTGGGGTTATGATATGAAGTCAGCGAGACAGGTGTGAGAGCACTGTGCCACAATGTGGGTTGTGTGAAAAATAGTGACACGACTAGGTGTATTTAAATGTGTTTCCGCCTTTCGCTACTTCATTGCTTGATTTTCTCTTCTGTAATATTTATAAATTGTATTTATTTTTCTAAGTATAAAGATCCTGCCTGGTTTCCACAATCAGGTCCATCAACTGTAGGGTGCTCAAGCCAAGCTGAGTGTTTTAGTGTTGGTGGTCAGAGAAGGCTCAGAGGCTGAGACCATGGATTGAAAGAAAGCCCAGAGTTGTGCGAAGGTCCTGGGATGGCAAAGAGCTGTTCGTGAGAACTGTGAGAAGCTGGAGTGACTATTTGTTGAGAGCTAGGAGGAGAGGGGAGGCAGATAGGCAGTGGCCTGCTCAGCTCATCCAGAAGACCCCAGCAGAGGAGCAGGAGACTGGTAGGCTAGCAAGAGAGGGGTCACACTGTGCTTCCGGGAAGCACAATGAAGGGGTGGGGCCATGGCATCCCTGCCATTCAGAGAGGACCAAAGCACCCAGGAGATGAGCATGGCATGGCCTGTGCTCATGGGAGCCCCCGTGTCTTCCTGGCTGTGTGCCCCAGCCCTCCACGTGTCCCTTAAAGCACCCAGCATCACCTCTGCTGTGCAGGGCATAGACCCTGAATGTAGTAAGAACGTGACAAATGACTGTGACAGGGCCAGGGAGATGGCTCAGTGGAATAAGCGCTTCCCTGGCAAGCGCAAGGGCCTGAGGTCAATCCCCAATTCCGCAAAACAAACAAACAAACAAACAAACAAATAATAAAAATGACTGTGACTTCAAAGGACAAACCCTCTGCTCTGTCCGGATGTTCACCTGGAAGGGACCATTCCCCAAGGCCAAGAGGTGTCCTTCTGCCAACAGATCAACAGACAGTAGGTACAAGGGTTTATGTTCCTCAATATTAATTTTTGCCCTCTTGCTTTTATTTTCCCTGCTTTTTGTAGTTTATATATTTTATATTTATTAGCACCCACTTACAGCTCCTATGCGGAGTTGGTATCTGCTCGAGGCGCGTCAGATTCGTTTTCTAACGTCCTTTCCCTCCCTCTCTTGAGCCCTTTCCCATTCCAGAAAGATCTAGCTCCCTACCTGCTAGCATCTTTTATTGTTCATTATTATTTTAAACGACTGAGTATAATTATAACTCATGCTCAACATAAAACACGCTCAAGCCTTATGGAACCCCACAGACCTCGACTGAAGACCCTCCTAAGCCTGCTTGCCCAGGCGACCCATCTCTAACAGCCAGGTGCGATTTCTCTCAGTCCCTACACCATGCTGCGCCCAGTCCGGGCACATCATTTTCTGCCTCACTAGATCTCAGGCTTTCCCTCTCCACCGTAATCCCGTCTCTCCGCTCCATTCTCTTTTAACCTGCAGAATATTTTCCCAGTCTAATGGCAAAATCTTCCCGTGTCACAGTGTGTACATAACTGCCCCCCTTCTCGGTGGCTTTGCTGTCGGGGTGAGGAGTACAGGCGCAGTGCTGTTTTGTCTGTGGGAGGCATCTTTGTTTTTCCACCCAGGAGAACAATGGTGGAGTCAGCCAGCAGGAGCAGAAATCCGGTAATCTTGTTAGCCACGCTGCACTTTGAGGTCTTTGGGCCCTCCGCTCTGCCTGGGCTACCGCGGTCCCCCACTTTTCCCTTGTAGTCCTTCACTTCTCGACACCATGTTATTACCTACTCCCTGGCGACCTGGCTCCTCTCCTGTGGCCAGCAATTATGAGCCTCCCATCTGGCCTTTTTGTTTATCATCTCTGCATGCAGCCTGGCAGTGAGGACCCTGGGAAAAGCAAAATTCCTCCCCCTTTGTCAACACCAAATCAAAATGCCATCTGCATATGTCAAGAACCTTTTTTTTTTTTTGACAAGTGAGTATCACAGAAAAATCAAGCCATCCTGGCCTCAGTACACAGTTTCACTCATTCAGTAAATACTCCCAGGGAGGGAGCACAGGCATGCTTTTATTGCAGCTGTTATCTATGAATATAGGAGACTGGCTACAAATTGGCATTTAAAATATTTGTGATTCATGGGTAACAGAAGAATTATCTCAGGGGTTTGTTTCCTCCACTAGTTTTAGAGTTCGGAACACATTGGGCATCCTTCACTGTATATGGGGTGGAGCAGATAAAATTCTTAATTTCTGATTAGTCCAGAAAAGTTGAGCCAAGGAGGGGGGTTTACCATCTCAAACGGTAGGATTCTTGTGTGTGCCCCAAATGCTACGTTTATAGAGAGACTGTTTGGACAGTGAGGAAGGCAGCTAGAGATCAGGGTGGGGACAGGTAGCGCTAAGGGTTCTTTTTTTTTAATTTTTTTAAAATTTTTATTTTAATTTGTGTGTGTGTGTGTGTGTGTGTGTGTGTGGCCAGCTCAGCCCACCAGGGGCGGGGATGGCTGGCATGTGGTGCTGGGGGATTGAACCGCAGTCCCTGTGCTTTGCTAAGCTTGTTCTAAGTAGGTGCTTTAGACCACTGAGCCATCTCACCAGCCCCAACGCGCTAAGGGTTCTGAAAAAAATAAAATCAGCAGAAAAAAATGGTGAGAAGTAATTTGTTCGTATAGCATTACACCCTTAGAAAATCACATTCCTATAGATGATTTCTGTGGACCCTGCTACCCTTGTGCCCCGTGCTCTGCAGCCGATAGAGCAGGGAATTACTTACTTGATCCATTTTACAGATGAGAAAACCTAGCTACAAAGAGTTTAGACAGCCTGGGCAGGCTCACATAGAGACTGTCCTTGTCATCATGTTGGGTGACCAGGCTTGCTGGGAATCATGGGTCCTTTGAGCTGGGACAATGGAGAGAGAGAGAGAGAGAGAGAGAGAGAGAGAGAGAGAGAGAGAGAGAGAGAGAGGCAGACAGACACAGACACACAGAGACAGAGACAAAGAGAGACAGAGACAGACAGAGAGAGACAGAGGGACAAAGAGACAGAGAAAGAGACAGAGAGAGACAGAGACACAGATAGAGAGATAGGCAGAGAGAGAGAGAGAGAGAGAGAGAGAGAGAGAGAGAGAGAGAGAGGCAGAGACAGAGAGCAAGAGACGTCAGGCGTTTTTCCTCCCCCAGGCCTCCATCTCTTGCTGCCTGCAGCAAAATAATGTGTCTGCCCGAGCTGGGTTTATGTCTAAAACCCAGAGAGGATTGTTCGCTGCCACTGACAAGGTCCCTGCTCCAGGTAAGCAGCTCCTTGCGCTGTCCCTCACCTACACTGCGCACTCCAGCTTTGAGCCATAGGCACCTGTTTCTTTGTAGAGTTCTTTGTGGATGGCACTGATCTCAGGGCCAAAGGGAGAGGGAGGGGAGGAGGAAAGACCTCTCCCTGAGCAGCAGTGTGGCTGACCCTGGAAATGTCCCCAGCATCCTTCCTGCCCCTTCTCATGACCAGGCCGCACAGCCAGGTGGAAAATGGCCTTTCTTCTCAAAAAAGGCTGTGCTGGAAATCCATTCACTCCAGGTGCCACTGCAGCCCCTGGCCAGGGGGGGGGAGACAGAGTAAGGACTCGCCCTGATGCTTTGTCACAGACTTGGTACTGTGTGATGTGACTTTGTTACCTCACCCTAACTCGGTGGGAACAGCAGCTGTGCTCCCAAGCCTGCTCCAGGTGGAGGGGTTTCCCACGAGCACTCAGGCTCCTGGCCTCATAGTTCCATGTGCTTAGCCCTGCTTTTCAAGTGAGGGCCTGGAGGCTCAGAGCATTAAAATGACTGGTCCAGGGCCCAGGAGATCGCTCAGTAGAATAAGCGCTTGCTTGGCAAGCGTGAGAGCCTGAGTTCAATCCCCGGTTCAGTAAAAAAAAAAAAAAAGAAAGAAAAGAAGTGACTGGTCCAGTGTCAACCTGGCCAGTAAGTGGCAGACCCAAGCCCAGAGCTGTCTGACCCGGGACCCCTCTAGCCTGTCGGGCCATAGTGCCCTCTGGACCCTCTGGACTTGGGGCAGCCTGGCTGCAGGAGCTCTCCCCATCGGCTTCAGGAAGGCCGTGATGTTTTGTGTTCTCTGTGCTATGAGGTCAGCCAGAGGGGCCTTGCTACCTCTGCCAGGAGCCTTGGGCCCCAGAGCCCAGAGGAGGTAGGGAGGCTTGGCTTCTGCAGTTGTGCCTCTTGCATGAGGGGTGTGGAGAAAATTGCAGTGCCCATCAGATTTCAGCAAATCCAGATTCAAGTTGAGAAGATCAGTCTGAAGTTGCGGAATAAACCCAGTGCTAATTAAGAGGCTCAGCCCAGGAAAGCTCTGCACCTTGCGTCATCTGAGGGCAAAGCCCCACCTTGTGTGTGTGTGCACAGAGGAACAAAGCTGGCATCCCTGGGGCTTGCCAGAACCCCTACCAGGGAGCCCTGGGTCATGAGCACCCAATAGCCAGCCACCTGGGTCTGCTCCCCCTGGAGTGTCCTGTGTCATCCCCAACCCTTTGTAACCCAGCACAGGGAAAGGCAGCATCCTGGTACCTGCTCAATACCTCCTGTGCGCCAGGCTGTACAGATGTCGCCACCCTGAGTGCTTCAAACCTCCACAGGACACCTACTCGGGAAACCATTGTTCCTTTATCCCCATTTTATAGGCAAAGGTGAAGCATAGTCACTGAGCTGGGTGGTGCACACCTGCAATGCCAGCTACACCCAAGTAGGCTGAGGCAAGTGGACTACAAATTTGAAGGCAACTGGGGTCACTTGGTGAGACTTTATCTCCAAGTAAAAAATAAAATGAATAAAATTTTAAAAAGAACAGAGATGAGGTTCCGTGCAAAAGGTCTAGTTCAATCCCCAGTCCTGAAAAACAAAACAACAACAACAAAAAAAACCCCAACAAAACCCTCTTCCTTATATTAATTGCTTAAAGTGGAATGGCTAAGGCAAAAGGTATGTGAAATATTTGAGGATCTTGATGCTGGTGAACAAACCGCCCTTCAGTGCAAGGGTGATTTATCCTCTGTGTCTCAGGGCACCTGGTTCCCCTCACCTTTGCCATCATGAGAGAAGGGTCCTTTCAATAAGATCTTGCTGATGTGGATCCTGCTGTCTTCAGAACTTTTGCAGTGGAAAAGTAAATTCTATTTAAAACATTTAAGATGCAGTTTACACTGCTTTGAAAATTTGAAAGACTTGTAGGCTTTGTTTTTTTCCCACTTATGCCTATCTTCAGAAATTGGGCTGGGGAGATAGCTCAGGAGCATAAGTGCCTGCCTGCCAAGCACAAGATCCTGAGTTCGATCCCCAGGACCCAAAGCCCCCGTATCCACTTGACTGCATGGTCTTTGCATTTCTTATGGTCAGATGTCGGCCCTGGCACTCACTCTGCCCTGGGCAGGGACTTTCGGGCTGCTTCTGCATCCTAGGATCTTGGGCTCCAGAGCCAGGTGGAACTTTCTCTACACATGAGGTACTTGACAAGTACTTGTTGCTTGCATAGTATTTATAGGGCAACCATTAAAATAGTATTCTATTAGCATGAGACTCCCCCCCACCCCCGTGCCTGGGAGCTTCTTGTCATTCTTCCTCTGTAGAGGAGGGGGCCAGGCTTCAGGTACACAGGGAGGGATGCCCCTGGTGAGAGGAATGTCGTCATTTGGCATCTCTGAGTCGCACCTTCCTCATGTGGAGATAGAGGTGCAGTGCCCATCCGGTCAGGCTGCAGCAAGTGACACATGCGGCCTGTGCTCTCCAAGCAGGGATTTCGGCTCTGAGCTGGCTTGTGCCCGGTGCCATTTGGCCATTCAGGACTGTCATCACTTTGCATTTAGGGTAAAGTTCTGCTATTAATTAATTAATTAATTTACTTATTTAGAGAAGAGGTCCTTATTCTGTCTTAATTTTCTTTTTCTGTTTAGGGCATTATGATGTCAATGAATCCCTTGTGAAGGAGTCACCGAAGATATTAATGTCTTGTTTCAAATCAAAAACTGACCGTGGGTTTAAACTGATATCAACAGGTCCAGGGCCTGGATATTACAACCCAAATGGCCACACCAAAATTTCTAAAAAGTCTGTCATTCCGTGAGTTCTGATTTTCCTTCTCTATCTCCTCTTCCTCCTCCTTTTTCTGCAGGGTGGTTCTGGGAGAGGGACCTAACATGAACAGTGGGGGAGGGCATCAGTGCCGCGTCACAAACCCTAGTTGATGCATAGCAAGTGCTCAGTAAATGCTTGCGGGATGCATAATATTAATGGTGTGATTCCTGTGTTCTTAGAACTTAAAAGCTCATGCAGCGATGATAGGCCTATTGTGAGGATAATTATTCTTACTTCATAGAAGAAGATAGGCTTCAGTGAGTCTGAGATTTGGCTAAGTACACATGGCTAATGAGGGGGGCCGCAGGCAGTGGGGCTGGGAATTGCCTGATTGTCCCACATGGCCCATGACGCTGTGCTCCCTGGGCGCTGGTATTATTCTGTTTTCATAAGGCAGCGTATCCACAAGGCAGCCAGATGTAGGGAACCATGTAGCTTGTACTGATGGGGATGTAAAGTCCAGATTTTTTTTTTTTTTGAATGTATTTAGAGGGCTGGGGAGATAGCTCTGTAGAATAAGTGCTTGCCTGGCAAGCGCAAGTTCTGAGTTCAATTCCAGGTACCACCAAAAAAAAAAAAAAGTATTTAGTACAGCGTCTAAAGAATCACCCTACGCAGATCAGACTCATAGTGATCCTCCTGTTTTCAGCCTCCCGAGCACTGGGATTACAGGTGTGCACCACCACACCCAGTCTCTGTCGCCCTCTCAGTGCACTCTGGGGGGTGGGGCCAGCGCAGCACACCGAGGTTTGAACCCCAGACCCTGCATCTGCCTAAGTAGGCGCTTTAATCCACTGAGCTATCTGGCTGCCCTTACAGCGCAGATTTTGGAGCTGGTCAGACTCTTAGGATTTGAACTTCAGCTCTGCTATATTTATACTGTGTGACTTTGCCTCATAGGGTTGATTTCCGAAAAAAATATTGTACATGTTAGACAGATAGTAGGTGCACACGGTGACTTCATTAATAGTAATACAAAATTGAAATCTGGAAATGTATCTGTGTGTCCATTTTAGTATCCAACATATATAATGATACTTTTATTTTAGGTGCTTAAAAACATGCAAGGCAAAAAAAAAACAAAAAAACAAAAAAAACCAAAGCATTATGGAATTTTAGAACTGGTTGCTGTTGAGGTCAGTGGCATTGCTGTCCAGCCCTCCCTGCTGCAGACCCCCTTCAGGCAGGTCTGGCTGTTGTGGGCGGGGTTGGGACTGAGCATATGGCTGCTACCTAGACTCTTCCAAAGAGGCCAGGCAGGTGTCTAGGGCCACAGGCACAGAGGGCTCAAAGCCCAAACGGCCCTGGGACAAGGAGCCAGGGCTCAGAGGAGTGAGTGGCAGGTCTACCAAGTCACTCTGGATCTAGAAAAGGATGTCCTTTCTGGCCCCTGGGTTTTGGGTCTGAAGACTGACCCTTCCCAAGCCCCAGAGCGGGCGTCGGGGAAGAGCTCCTTCAAAAGTCAGCTACTTCCTGCCTCCAGGCTGGCTCAAGTCACAGCCTTTTCTCTCCTCAGCCAGCAAACAGAGTGACCCAGGCCTAGTGGGTCATGGGTCTGAGCATGAATCCCAGCTTTTCTCCTCCTGAGCCTCCGTCTCTTGGGGCCTCAGGTGCAGAGGTGATGGGAGCCTCACCTCTTACTTCCAGCAGGCCTAGAAGGGAAGGAGTGGAAAACAGAGGCGCTCTTTTCCCCAGGGGGCACATCAAAGCCATGCACATTTATTGGGCTCTTCAGGCTGTCTCAATGCAAATGAGCATCACCTGCTGCTCACACATGGGGCAGGGCCAGCAGCCCCCAGACAGCCGTCCCCTCAGTCCTTCAGACCCAGTAGGACATGGGGCTGCAGCAGCTCCGTGGGAGGGCACTCAAGCTCACAGCTCAACTCTGGAAGCTTCCTTAAGGAAAATGATGAAATGAGACCAAAGGGTGGAGAATAGTCTGCTGCTGCTCTTTTGTTTGTGGTGTCCAGACGGAACTCCAGGCTCTGCACACACCAGCAAGTGCTTAACCACTGAGCGGCTTCCCCTGCCTGGATCTCTAGGTTTTCATCTTTTAAGGCTTTCAGCTTTTGCTCAAGTTTGGAGGAGCAGTTTGAAATTGTCCTCCTGTACAGTTTTGTTGAGGGAGCGGTTTAGGGTTGTTCCTATTTTACGGTATTTGCCCCTGTCAGACAGCAGGCCCTGAAGGGCTCTGGTTTTGTACTGCAGGTTTTGGAGGTACTTGGTGAATGGGAGCCCACACTGTGAGCCAGGCTTACCTGGGAAGAGCACCATGAAAGCTCTCCCTGCATTGTGAACGAAGGCCCCTTGGTCTACACACTGACTGACCTGCCTCAGGGACCGTCCCAGTGCATGCAGGCATTTAAAGGCTCTGAGAAGGTCTGTAGTAAAGGAACTTGTTAAATCCAGTGGCTCCTCACTTGGATTCCTCTTGAGGAGTAGAGGTTTCCTCGAGGCTTATAGCAGGACCTTTGTGGTCCACAGCAGCTCTCAGCACCTCCCCCCCAGGCCTTCTTTTCTCTGCCTCTGTCTGATGCTTCAGGACCCCACCTTGTCTCACAAGATCACTTAAGGGCACACTCAGGGAGGTGGTGCTTTTGGACCCAGCAGAGCAGATCTAAAACATGCATTTTTAAATTGATCCAGAAAGGGTGACACTGGGAAGTCTGTTGCTTTATTTAAAAAGCAAGAAGATAACCAGAGAGCTCTGGACTTCTCTCAGAAAGCCTCCCTCCCTCATGTTGAACGATGAAGGATGAGACACAGCGGGATAATGGGAGGGTGAAGGGGCATCCCACCTCCACTCTGTCCTGTTCCAGTCCTCTCTCTTCCTGTGGCCCTGAGGGCCAGCACAGGACAGAAGTCTCCTGGGGTTGTGGTCCAGGGTGGTTGGGTCCCCAGGTTTGTCTGCCCTGCTTCTTTGCACCCACATTTCACTCTTGTCCAGACTCTGTCCACATCAGAACCGATCACCTGCCACTCCGAGGCCACCCTGGGACACCTGCGCAGCCTGAGACCCCAGGCTTCACGTGTATGTGACATGGCATGAGAAGGCTCTCATTTGTCCAGGGCTGCCTGCTGGCCCTCTGTCCTCTACCAGTCCTACTTACTTCAGGAGGAGGAAGAGAACTGGGTCAGTATGGACACTGCCTGGCATTGTCAGTCCTGTGTTAATGACACAGAGAAGCAAGAGGCTGGGTGACGTGACTCAGGTGCTCAGGAGGTGACCCGCAGGGCCGTGAATAGGCCCGGAAGACCGTGAATAGGCAGAGCTCAGCTCAGGGCCCAAGCCAGGACCTGTGGCACCTCTTGCCTTCCCCACTACCCAGTCTGAGAGGCTGCAGAAACTGGGGAGGGGCTCACTTAGCTCCCAGGAATTCACAGTCCTCTAACACCTTGTACCCTGGGGACTGTGGTTGCCAGGGTGGAAGGAAATGTGCCATTGAACCCCCATGGCTCTCCCTGGGCCTGCGAGCTGGTCCTTGGTGCTTCCATGGGGCATCACCAGGCCTTGCTCAGGGTGTGTCAGCAGCAGGTGACCACACCCTGTGCACTCAAAGCTGGGAGGCTCTCTCAGCTGCCCAGGTGTCTCAGGGAGCCAAAAAGGTGCCCGCCAAGGTTTCACTTGTTGAGGTCTTTGGTACCCATTTCATGGTGACCCAGTGAGAGAGATACAGGCTTTGGGGATCACCAGTTTTTCCTCTGCCACCTTCCAACCTGTGCTTACCAAGAGGAGATGGAGCCCTAGAGACAGGACTTGGTCAACTTCCTGGAGCTCTTAAGCCCGCACAGACACAGTCCTGTCACAGCCAGAGCTGGAGAACCAAGCCCCTTGGCCCTGCTCCAAATTAGGTAATTACGCTGGACCCATCTAAAGTTCCCTTGGGATTTTCAATTAGCTATGGGATGCTGCTCCCCAAACAGCTGTGATCTGTCACCCACTACCCCATTAAACAGACACTGCATTCCACCCACAGGCAATCGGCTGCCCTTTAATGTGGAGAAAAATGGCCCCTTTCTCCCTCCCAACCCTGGGAATCCCTGAGGCAGAGGGAGCCTGTGCCTGGGAGTGCCCTGAGAGGGCTGCCTTCCCCAGGTGACCTGCTGAGTCCTCCAGGACATTCATTATTTTGGGCCATTTGCAAACAGCTCACCTTGGAAGCCACCAACACAGTTAATCCGGTGTAGCGGCCAGCTTGGGGCCCTTTGATGGGAGTTTTCTTTCCACAGGGCTGGAGCAGGATGGCTGTCAGAGCTGTGATGAGGCTCGTAAAAGCCCCACTCATAGGGTGCTGGGGCTGCCCTGGGAATGCTCTTCCTGACCTCAGTGATTCTTCCCCCACCCCCCATGCCAGGGACCCAGATGAGGGGGTACCATGTCGGGTGGGACTCAGGGTCTGGCATCCTTACTTGCTTCATCCTCCCTGCTTTTCTCTGCAGTTCAGCCAGTGTCCCAGAATGGTCACGAGTGCCTCAAAGTTGTGTCAGTCACAACCTCTTCCCTTATAAAGAGGCAAGCAGACAACCTGGAAATTCAAGTGTTATAAATGGAGGAAAGAGTCCCCGGCAGGTCTGGAGGGGCAGACGCACTGAGCTAGGGACTTGGCTCACGGGCACCTCGGGTCATCATCCACCTCTCCTCTAGAGAACAGTGGTTCTGAGGCCCACCCGGAAGTGCAGTGCTGGAGCTGGGACCAGCACCAGAGGCCATTGGCCTCCAAACCCTGTGCTGCTCTGCTGAGCCTCAGAGAGGGACCCTCTCATGGCGGGAGGGCGCTCCCCAGTGGGACAAATGAAGCAGAGTTTACAGGGGAGGTGTGTCCCTGGCAGAAGGAGCAGTGCGGACAAAGGCACTTAGTGGCAGGATAGTGCCGTGCTGAGTGGTCAGAAAGGGGAAGTGGGAGCCAGAGGCACAGGACAGTAGGCTGGGTGGAGCGGCCTGAAGATGGCTTTCCTGGATCTTCTCATTGGATTTATAGAGGGTTGTTGGGAACAAGAGAAAAGACAGAAGTCCCAGATGATTGGAGAGCGGAAGGTGGCCGAGGGCACTGGCCTGTCCACTTGTGTCCCAACCGCTCCAGGTGGGCTGTGCGGCACCCCCGCTGTTCCCACACCAGCCTGCCCCTCCCTAGCTTTCTGCTCAAGGGCTAACGCTACCTCCCCAGTGTGGCTTCTGCATTCACCCAATAGCAATCAGTCTCTTAACTCTCTTCATTTTGCATTGGTTTTCTTGAGACAGGGTCTAACTAGGTTCATGCTGGCCTTGGACTCACTATGGAGCACAGGCTCGCCTCAAACTCTGTCTTGGCCAGCTGGGGCTCCAGGAGTGCACCACCACAACCAGCTTCACCCTTTCAATGCGCGGAGTTTTAAACTATTTTAACAGCACTCAGGCTTAAAAGGAACCCAAGTTAGTTAGCTGATCTGTTTAACAATCCTGGGCAGCAGGTTCCTATCCACTGTTTCACTGACCAAGAAGTGGAGGAGGGTTGGGAGGCCAAGGGGCCTTTCTAAGGACACATAGCTGGTTAACAGGGACATTGAAGCCCAGCTCGTAGCACACAGCTATACTGCCTTTGCTGTTACCAGTCACTGGGGGACTGCCCAGTGTGCAGGGACATTCAGATCTGGGTCTTAGCGCTGAGCAGTCTAGACTCCCCACGCCTGGCCAGTGCTCACCCAAGAGCCCTAGCGCTGGGGTTAAGCCCAGTCTCCATCTGGGCTTCTGGTAGAATGACGAAGGCACCCCTTGGCCTGTTCTAGTGAGTGTTAGTGGGACACAGGACCAGCAGCCCACAGCTATGTGGAGGTGGCCCTGAGTAGGACAGTAGCCTAAGGAGACCTCATGGTCTTCTTAATGGGAGATGACCCAAAGCAACAGTGACCTCATAATTGGTCAACTCAATGCAGCACTGATTTCCAGGAATCAAGCTTATCTCTCAGTGAAGCCAGTCACCCACTCATCAGCTTTCTGGGGGTGCCTTGAAGGTGGAGCCACAACCAGAATAGGGAGAAGCCAGCACTTATTTATCAGGGGAGCTGTTGCTGATTACACCCCACAGCTTGTTCATCCACAGAGGGAGGAGGAGGGGGAGAAGTGAAGCAATGTGTGCCCTTCCTGTGGACACCTTCATTCCAAATGAAAGCATCTAAGCTGGCTGCTCCTGCCTCCCAAGGCATAGGCTTCAGGCAGGTTTAGGGCAACTTCCGGTGGAGGGGGCTCTCCTGCCTCTGTGTGAAGCTAGTCTGAGGGGGACCTAGCTCTCTTTCCTAAGCTTGGTTGCTCCTCAGTGGCAAAGCAGATCGTGTTTGTAATGATGACTGCCTCATCTATTGAGCGTTTTCTGCATGGTGGCGCTGCGAGAGGCGCTTCACGTACCTTTCTGTACTCACTGTTCACCTCTGTGAGGACTGGGCGTTCTTGCTCTTTGTCACAGACACAGAGTCCAGAATTCATGGGCCTCATCTCAGATCTCACAGCCCAGCAGTGGTGTGTCTGGAATTCAGACTTTGGTCAGTGGGACTCAAATTTCCTCCATCATAATGCTTTTTCCAAATTGCTGGGCCCCAGAGACATGCATTCTTGTGTCCCACCAGCTTGCTCTGTGATCTGCATGTGTCTCTTTTTCTTGTTGGACATCAACAAAATCTTTAACAAAAATCAGAAGGTTGATTAGATGTCTGTAGTGCTCCTGGCTGTCTCGGTTTCAGAAGGTAGTAGCCCAAGGGAAGCAGGGTACCAGAGGCCAGGAGCTCCTTGTTCTCTCCTCTACTTCAAGGTGATGTAAGTCTCCTTGGCTGTGTGATGCTCTAAGAACCTTCCGCCTCCTTTGGTGGAAGACCTTAGAAGAAGTTTTAGGGGTAAGCGGAAGGAGGTGGCCCTTGCCCAGCATGGTGGGCAGAATGGCTTGACTCTGCCAACAACCTGGAGATGGGCAGGCTTTGGCAGCCCCGTGGACCTTTGAATCAGGTCCTGATGAAGGGGTCACAGCTGGAAGGGACCTAGAGCATGGCGTGGTTCTTCACAAAGCCTGGCCATGGCAGACATCACAAGTGGATCACCAAGACCAGTGAGGCCTCATCTCACAGAGCTCCAGCCAGGTACTACTAATTGATCAAAGCCAGTGCATGAGATTAGCTCTGTGTGTCCCTCCTGATTGGTCCAGCAACAATGCTGCAGTTGTCACATCCTCAGCGGTGTGTGCCAGCCTTCTCCTGAGTACCCTGTTTCAGGTGCATCATCTCATGTAACCCGGACCAGGAGCCTACATGGCAGGTACTGTTGTGATTACCACTGGGTTGATGGGGAAGTCGAAGCCAAAGACTCTGGGCACACAAGCAGAGGAGCTAGGGCTCTGGTCAGGTCTCCTGACGCCATGTCTGGGCCTCTCCCAGACCCCCAGATGCTGAGCATGCCTTGGCTGCATTAAAAGTGACATTGCCCCAGTAGACTGCTTCAGTGACATCTCATTTTGTCTTTTTCCAAAGGAAAAACCCTGTCCTGAACTTCTCAGCCCAGCCTTTGCCTCTGCCTCCGAAGCCACCGCCTCCAGGCCCTGGCCAGTATGAGATTGTGGACTATGCTGGACCGACCAAACATTTCATCTCTAGCGCGTCCTTTGTGTCCAATACCAGCCGGTGGATAATGGCACCTTCCCAGCCAGGCCTCCCGGGCCCAGGTCAGAGGACTGTTTTAAATGATTGTAAAACCCTAATCTGGGCTTGTTTGCCATTCTTGTGCCATCAAACACCACTGATTTATAGGCTGTTTGCCAAACAGTTTACAGGGCTCAGGGCAGATTTAGGAGAGTTATCAGCTCATATTTTCAGAATATAAAAATATTTTGTTTTTTGAGGTGAAAGGACTCTTGGAGATGATTGGGGTCAGGGATTTGTACTGTGGACCAGGAAGGTCCAAGAGGTCACAGATGGGCTGCGGATGGCTGGTGACTGTGGTCTGTCTGAAGATTTGGAGCATACAGACGCCATACTGTAGCACTGTGGTTTTTGTCAGAGCATCAGAAAAGTTCTTATTCTTAAAACTATTTAAGTCACTGGCCCTAGTATGACCAACATGTTTTACAGAGAGGAAGGTGTAGAAAGCAAGGTGTCCACTGCTCCAAGAGCCTGGGCAGCATGGGATGGGGTCTAGGCATGCCCCCTCTATCCCATGCCTCACTTATGCTGGATGCAGACAGGGACCACCCAAAGGAGCTGCTCTGTGAAGCCACCTAACTATGCTCCCTTCCTACAGAGGAGCTTAGGCACTTGTCACATCTGAGAGCTCCCTGAGCGCTGATATCTCAAGGGGCTCACTCCCCTAGGTGGCCTCTGTACTTGTCTGCTTGTTCGTGGTGCTCTGTAACTCCCCTTGGCTATTACAACTCCCTGACAATGGCCAGAGCTGGTGGCATTGGTGATTGACAGGTGTGGCAGATGCAGGGAGGAGGAAGGCAGAGCTCAGATCCCAGAGCCAAGGACATGCCCACCCTGGGGGGCTAAGGTGACAGGACTTACCCCCTAGAGGCATCAGTCTGGTAGCGGGGACACTCACAGGTAATAAGAATGTCAAGGAGGTGG